TATATTTATTATTATATTTATACTTTATTCAGACTACTTACTGTTTATTAGGTGCTTATTTTATTGACTCCAAACGTTAGTGGCGCACCTGCCGCCTTGTACGCCACGCCGAGGCCATGCCCTGCCCTGTCCTTGATGCTTCTGCGCACATCAACCCAAACTCTCGATATCTCATCGACTTGAACTCAGATGATAACCTCACCTTCTGTTCCAGTGCAGTTTCCACGTAAGGTATGTCCTTGCGCTGGTCCGGTGGCTGCACCCTCGCCCCCGCCATCGTCGTCGTCGTCGTCGTCTGGGGCGGCCCGTACGTCACGTTGGGGTTGGGCGGCGTCGTTGGCCGATAGGAGGTGTTCGGGTCGGTATGCGCGCTGGTGTCGCCCTCTGGCACAAACATGCCCAGCTCCTGCAGACAGCAATGCAGTGCAGCAGCGCCATCTAGCGGCGACCTTATCTCGAGAACTAGTTATTTTGGTACACAGGATAGCACCATTTTTTGGAGGCGGATTTTGGAACAAGGTTTAAAAATTTGGGAATTGTGATTTATTTTACCGGTAACTGTGACATGACATATTTTTGACCTGGGACACTGGAAATGCTTACCACGTTCCCTAATTATGATTTGCATTCCCCAACACACGCGCAAACACACTCACTCTCTCTCACACACACACGTACACACATACGCATACACGCACACACGCACGCACACACGCACGCACGCACACACACACACACCTGCGTTTCGTATCCGTGTATGTGCTCGGGGTACGGTGGTGCCACGTGCGGCGGTGCCACGTGCGGTGGCGCCACGTGTGGTGGCTCGGGGTACGGTGGCGCCACCTGCGGCTCGGCGTACGTCGGCGGTATTTGTGGTTTGGTTTCGAACGGGGCGTCGATGTAGACGGGTTCGTAGCGTGGCACCACCTGGAGTCGCTTCACCTGATCCCTGTGCTTCTTATAGCTGCAGCGAGTCAAGCAGGGTAGATCAGCACAGAACACCTGACATATAGGGAGTTGTTAGTGAACTACAGATAACCCACCTGACATATAAGGGGTTGTTAGTGAACTACGGATAACCCACCTGACATATATATAGGATCGTTAGTGAACTACAGATAACCTACCTGATATATAGAGGGTTGTTAGTGAACTACAGATAACCTACCTGATATATAAGGGGTTGTTAGCGAACTACAGATAACCTACCTGGTATATAGGGGGTTGTTAGTGATCTACAGATATCTTATCTGATATATAGGGGGTTGTTAGTAAACTACAGATAACACACCTGATATATAGAGAATTGTTAGTGAACTACGGAGAACTCACCTGACATATAGGGAGTTGTTAGCGAACTACAAATAACACACCTGATATATAGATGATTGTTAGTGAACTACGGATAACCCACCTGACATATAGGGAGTTGTTAGTGAACTACGGATAACCCACCTGACATATATAGGATCGTTAGTGAACTACAGATAACCTACCTGATATATAGATGGTTGTTAGTGAACTACAGATATCCTACCTGACATACAGACGGTTGCTAGTGCCATTTAGATTCTGCCCACTGTCCTTGATGAGTTGCTGTCTGTCCTCGTATCTGCAATGTCCGAAGGTTACGGCATTCGTTAGTATCATGAACCGATTTAGGTAATAAATGCCATGACGAGTACCAGTGTGTGGTCAAGGAAGGCTAGATATGGACCGAATACAATAAAAATCAGCACTCACATTCAAACACATTTAATTTAAGCTGGGGAGGTACAGCAGAAGAGTTTGAGTCGATGGGCTAATGTAACTTGCATGGATAAACCGCAATTTAATCTGCAGGTGAATAACGATTTTTAAAATACGACGATACAAACTCAATGATCAACGACACAAACACAACACGATACATTTGACCACGATAAAATATTACGATTTCAGTAGTAAGGAAAAACAAGCGAACGTGCGTTGGTAGCAGACGATGACGTTACCTCGCGTGGCTGCTGGTCCTGCTGCTAGTGCCGCTAGAGAGAGATGGAGGGAGCCTGGTAGATACTCTCGCAAAAGCGCCCTCTGTCGAGCCTGCGCCGCTGTCGGCCCTGCCGGTGGAGCCACCTAGCGTCGCCTCGTAGTATGGCTCATCGAGGGTCGATCTCTCAATCTGAGATCGAGATCACGGCAATTAATGAAACAATAACAACAACAACAACAATAACAACAATAACAACTGTAATAGAAATACGCTAACAAATTTAAGAGGATGTAGGCGGCTTAGCACGTCGTCGAAATAGCTGACCATCTCTGTGTGCCCTCCTATTTCTCAAAACCTCTTACAAAGTCATATCAATCCGGGTGACGCTTGCCGCAGCAAATTCCCATGGGAGAGCGTCGTGAGTGATAACGAGGGAAGTGCGAGGCTGGCAGTCAACGTCCATAGTTAGAGGCGGGGGTGGTGGGTCGGAGAAGGCGGATCGACGGATGGCTACGTGATGGTTTACACTTATTTCAGGCTTATTGACTCTTACACTTACTACATGTGACATTTTCGTTTATTCATACTCAGTCAGTCAGTCACGCCCGTGGCTGCCTGGTGGAGCATAGGCCACTGATGCTGAAGGGGTCGTTGTCGTATCAGGTACTACATATATGTACCCGAGGTACATATATGTAGTACACAAAGTGTACCCAACTTGTTAACTACAGAAGTGTAACGCCTAACCGCATAACGCTTAAAACATACCTATATGAAAATATATAACATAGATACTAAACAAACTTAAAAGCTACCTCGGGTTACATATATGTAGCGTAAGCCGATACAGCGACAACGGACGCCTTCGTCGCACTACACCTGATGAATCATTCCTTATACATTCATACTAGTACTTTATCATACTTTATTTATTCTATTATTATATATTTATTATTATATTTATACTGTTATTCAGACTACTTACGTTTTTATTAGGTGGCGTTATTATTGACTTCCACACGTTAGTTGCGCACCGCTGCCGCCTGTACGCCACGCGAGGCCATGCCCTCCCTGTCCCTGATGCTTCTGCGCTACATCAACCCAAAACTCCTCGATGATCTATCGAGCTTGAACTCAGATATAAGCCTCACCTTCTGTTCCGAGTGCAGTTTCCACCGTAAGGTTATGCCTGCGCGGTCCGGTGCTGCACCCTCGCCCCCGGCCCATCGTCCGTCGTCGTCGCTCGTGCTGGGCGGCCCGTACGTCAACAGTTGGGTTTGGAAGGCTTTTCCGTTGGCCCGATAGAGGCTGTTCGGTCGGTATGCGCGCTGGTGTCGCCCTCTGGCACAACATGCCCAGCTCCTGTAGGACAGCAATGCAGTGCAGCAGCGCCATCTCAGCGGCGGACTATATCTCGTGAGAACTAGTTTTATTTTGGTACACAGGATAGCACCAGTTTTTTGGAGGCGGATTTTGACAAGGTGAAAGAATTTGGCAATTGTGGATTTAATTTTACGCGTAACTGTGACATGACATATTTTTTGACCTGGACACTGGAAATGCTTACCCACTTTCCTAATTATGATTTCATTCCGCCAACACATCCGGCCGCGCAAACATCACTCACTCTCTCTCACACACACACGTACACGACATACGCATACACGCACACAACGCACGCAACGGCACGCACAGCACGCACGCACCACACACACACATACCTGGCGTCTGCGTATCCGTGTATGGGCTCGGTACGTGGTGCCTACGTGGCGGGCGCCACGTGCGTGGCGCCCACGTGTGGGTGGCTGCGTGGTACGGTGGCAGCCACATGCGGGCTCGGCGTACGTCGGCCGGTATTTGTGGGTTTGGTTTGACGGGGCGTCGATGTAGACGGGTTCGTAGCGTGGCTACCCCTGGAGTCGCTTCACCTGATCTTGCTTCTATAGCTGGCCCGAGTCAAGCAGGTAGATCAGGCAAACAGATACATGAGTGCGAGAGAGGGGGAAAAGAGAGAGATGGGGGGAAAATTAGGAGTGACGAGAGAGAAGCGAGAAGGAAGGTAAAGAGAGAAGGGGAGAGAGAGAGAGAAGAAGAGAGAGAAGAAAGAGAGCGAGAGAACGAGAGCGACAGAGAGAGAGAGAGAGAGAGAGAGAGAGAGAGAGAGAGAGGAATTATGAGAGAGAGAGAGGAAGAGAGAGAGAGAGAGAGAGCGAGAAGCGAAGAGAGAGAGAGAGAGATAGAGAGCGACGAGAGATGCTCGCACCAATGACTTAAAGCAATTATCAGTGATAGTTAAACTCGCGCGGTATCTTAACTTTCCAGCCACTGACAAACCTACACTCAACGCTCGCTACTCACCGCCCCACAACAGGGCAGACCTGGCGGACCAGCGCCAAGTAGGCAAGAGAACGTATGCAGAGGCACGTCTAGAGCGATAGCGCAGCTGCCAGTTACTATGATGTCGCCTGTAACGTTCTGCGCTGCCGACCGCCGCCGGCTCCTCCTTCGGCGCCGTGACACCCGAGCCCGGACGAAGGCGGCCGTCATGCCGCTGCGCGCGCTGAGAAAGCTCTGGCCGCAGCTGCTGCTGGCTGCTCCTCCGTAAATATCTTACTGCAAGGCGGAGAGACGAAAGAGTTTATGAAGCGGAGGGGGGGGGTGCAGTGAGGCAGGTGGTGAATGAGGCAGGGTGAATGAGTGAAGGACGGGTGAATGATGGCAGGGGAATGAGTGAGGCGGGGTGAATGAGCAGGTGAATAATGTGAGGCGGGTGAATGATGGGTCAGGGGAAGTAAGTGAGGCCAGGTGATGAGGCAGGTGAATGATGCAGGGTGAATAAGTGAGGCAGGGTGAATGAAGGCAGGTGATGAATGAGGCACGGGAATGAGGCAGGGATTGAATGAAGTGAGGCGGGGTGAATGATGCCGGTGAAATAAGTGAGGCGGGTGAATGAAGCAGGTGAATGATGCAGGTGCATAAGTTAGGCAGGGTGAATGAGGCAGGGTGAATAAGGAGGCAGGGTGAATGAGGCCAGGGTGAATGAGTGACGCTGGGTGTAATGATGCAGGGTGAATGAGTGAGGCATGGGTGAATGAGGCAAGGGTGAGTGAGGCAGGGTGAATGAGTGAGGCTAGGTGAAGAGTGAGGCGGCGGTGAATGATGCAGGGTGAATAGTGAGGCAGGGTGAATGAGCAGGGTGAATGAGTTGAGGCGGGTGAAATATGCAGGGTGAATAATGGCACGGGTGAATGAGTGCAGGCGGCGGTGAATGATGCATGGATGATATGAGGGCAGGGTGAATGAGTGAGGCAAGGTGAATGATGCAGGGTTAATGAGTGAGGCAGGCGTGAAGAGCAGGTGTGAAGTGAGCAGGGTGAATGAGTGAGGCGGGGTGAATGATGCAGGGTGAATGACAGGCAGCGGTGAATAGAGTGAGGCGGGGTGAATGACTGCAGGGTGAATGAGTGAAGGCAGGGTGAATGAGGCCAGGGTGAGTGAGGCAGGGTGAATGAGTGAGGCAGGGTGAATGAGTGAGCGGGGGTGAATGATGCAGGGTGAATAAAGTGAGGCAGGGTGAATGAGGCAGGGCTAGTTGGGGCAGTGGTGAATGAGTGAGTGGGGTGAATCGATGCAGGGTGAATAAGCAGGGTGAATGATGATGGCGGTGAATGATGCAGGGTGAATGAGGCAGGGTGAATGAGTGAGGCGGGTGAAATGATGCAGGTGAATGAGTGAGGCAGGGTGAATGAGCAGGGTTGAATGAGTCGAGGCAGGGTGAGTGAGGCAGGGCGGGTGAGTGAGGCAGGGTGAATGAGGCAGGGTGAATGAGTGAGGCAAGGATGAATGAGCGAGGGCACGGGTGAGTGAGGCAGGGGAGTGAGGCAAGGGTGAATGAAGGCAGGGTGAGTGATGGAGGCAGGGTGAAATGATGAGGGGCAGGTGATGAGTGAAGGCAGCGTGAATGAGGCAGGGTGAATAGTGAGGCGGGTGAATGATGAGGCAGGGTGGTGAGTGAGGTAGGGTGAGTGAGGCAGGTGAGTGAGGCAGCGGGTGAATGAGGCAGGGTTGAATGATGCCAGGGGAGTGAGCAGGTGAGTGAGGCAGGCGGGTGAACTGAGGCACGGTGAGTGAGTGAGGCCAGGCGCGGTTGAGTGAGCAGGCGGGGTGAGTGAGCAGGGTGGGTGAGCTGAACGGTCAGGGTGAGTGAGTGAAGGGCAGGGGAGTGAGTGAGCAGGTGAGTGAGTGAGGCAGGGTGAGTGAGTGAGGCAGGGTGAATGAGGCAGGGCGGGTGAGTGAGGCAGGGTGAGTGAGGCAGGGTGGGTGAGTGAGGCAGGGTGGAATGAGCAGGGCGGGAGTGAGCGCAGGTGAGTGAGGCCAGGGCGGGTGAGTGAGGCAGGGTGAGTGAGGCAGGGTGAGTGAGTGAGGCAGGGTGAGTGAGGCTGGGTGAGTGAGGCAGGGTGAGTGAGGCAGGGTGAGTGAGGCAGGGTGAGTGAGTGAGGCAGGGTGAGTGAGGCAGGGTGAGTGAGGCAGGGCGGGTGAGGACAGGTGAGTCCGAGTGAGGCTAGGGTGAGTGAGGCAGGGTGAGTGAGGCAGGAGAGTGAGGCAGGGGGGTGACTGAGCAGGGCGGGTGAGTGAGGCAGGTGAGTGAGGCAGGGTACTGACGACGACAATCGCGACGACGACTACGAGAACGAGTGGCGTCACCTACCCCGCAGCTATGATCTGCGACCGATTGAGCAGACGACCGGTCTCCGGGTCGGTGACGTAAGTAACCAGACGTCGGCAGAGTCGAGGTCGACCTTAGACGCTGTTGTCCGGCGTACGTCGATCGGAGCGTAGCGACGGTTCTCGATGCGGTGGATGCCGACGACATATCCGGTCTGATCCTGCAGTACTCTGTAACGCCCCCGCAGCAGCAACAACATCAGCAGTAGTAGTAGTACGTACAGTATAGCAGTAGCAGTAGAGTAGTAGTAGTAGTAAGTAGTATAGTTAGTAGTAGTAGTAGTAGCAATAGCAGTAGCATAGGCAGTCGTAGTATAAGTAGTAGTATGTAGTAGATAGTAGTAGATAGTATAGTAGTAATAGATAGTAGTAGAGTAGTGGGGGGGGGGGTAGCATAGCAGTACAGTAGCAGTAGTAGTAGTAGTAGCAGCAGCATCAAGCACAGGCAGCAAGCAGCAGCAGCAGCTAGTAGTAGTAGTAGTAGTAGTAGTATGTAGTAGTATCGTATAGTAGTAGTAGTAGTAGTCAGTTAGCACAGACAGTAGCAGTACAGTAGTAGTAGTAGCAGGCAGCACAGCAGGCAGCAGCAGCAGCAGCAGTAGTAGTATAGTAGTAGTAGTAGTAGCATGAGTAAGAAATATAGGCAGACAACAGCAGTAGTAGCAGCAGCGCGGCAACAACAGCAGCATAGCAGCAGCAGCAGTATAGCAGCATAGCACAGCAGTCAAGCACAGCAGCGGCAGCAGCAGCAGCTAGCTGCAGCAGCAGCAGCAGGAGGTGGCAACAGCAGCAGCAGACAGCAGCAGGCAGCAGTAGTAAAGCAGTAGCAGCAGTAGGGCAGCAGTACAGCAAGCAGCAGCAGCAGCTAAGTAGTAGTAGCAGCAGCAGCAAGCAGTATACGTATAGTAGCAGCAGCAGCACAGCAGGCAAGTAGCAGCAGCAGCAGCAACAGCAGCAGCAGCAGCAGTCAGTATGCAGGGGCAGCCGTACAACAGCAGCAGCAGCAGCAGCACCAGCAAGTCAGCAGACAGCAGGCAGTAGCAGCAGCAGGCAATCGCAAGCAGCAGCAAGCAGCAGTAGTAGTAGGCAGCACATAATACATGAGGTCGTGTGAGCATATATCACTTTATATTGCTATATTGTTCCTAATCGTAATTACTGTTATTTAGTTAGTTACTATTATTTAGTCATTATTTCATTAGCTATAATTATATCATATTAAAATTTAACTGTATTATATTATGTTGATACACTACAATACTACGGTAGCGTTATTCAATGTAATTCATACTTAATATTATACCATTGTAATTATTCCTGTTTAAATTGGCCGGGGGTGTTCTATGTAAATGAATGACCGCGGACTTAGATGACGTAAGCAAACCGATGACGTCATCTTACCTCCTCACCTCCCGCGCATGGCCGCGTCTGCACGCGCTGTGGCTGCCATCCGGTCACGACTAGGCGCCATCATGTGATCGTCTCCGCAAAACATTCACAGATCACCTCGGTCTGCTTTACAG